GGAACAAGGGTATAGAACAACCCTCACATGTTTTCGTGAGCCTTGCAAACCGCGCGCAAGTGATGGCGAGTCTCGAACCTCTGACGTGCGCGCAAGCCGACAAGGCCTGCTAAGCACATTTGGCCTTGATTTCAATCTGGAGTTCAATGCCGTCCCGCATTGAAAATGCCGTAGTTTGGCAGGACCCAGAAATGCATATTTCAAGGCTTGGAAAATGCATTTACACATTTAAAAATTTAAAGCTGTTTCAGCTTATATGGTGCTCCTGGCCCCAGTCCCCGAACCCAAATCGAGCTCCCGAAGTCTCCGACCAAGCCTAAATGCATTTCGACAAGTCTGGAGCTCAATGCCGTCCTTACACCACGAAAAGCGCACCATAAATTGCTTTAATGTGGTTTCCAGCGCTCCAATTTCAGCTTTGCGCCCTGGCCCCACTCCCGAGGCTTTAATATTTTCCCAGGCCTGCTAAGTGCATGTGGCCGTCGTTTCAACATATCTGGAGCTCAATGCCGTCCCTATATCCGAAAATCATACTGCAAATGCTTTAGTTTGGTTTCCAGGGCCACAACTTGCATTTTTCAATGCTTGGCACATGCATTTACAGCTGTTTCAGATTTGCCGGTGTTCCTGGCCCCATTCCCGAGGCTTCAATTAACCCTCCATTGTCCAAGGCCTGCTAAACGCCATTGGCCTTCGTTTCAAGAATAAATCTGGAGCTCAAGGCCGTCCCTAAGCGCGAACATCGTACCGCAAATGCAGTGTTTTGGTTTCCAAAACCCCAACATGTATTGTCAAGGCTTAGAAAAATGCATTTAGACATTTAGACCTGTTTCAGCTTTACTGGTGTTCCTGGCCCCAGTCCCCGAACCCAAGCATTTCCAAGGCCTGCTAAACGCAGCCCTGGCGTCAACACATCTGGAGTCCCTACACCCGAAAATGTAGCCACCCAGAAACTGCTCGAATCAGCTCCCGGAGCTCCGACCAAGCCCAAATGCATTTTCCTAGGCCTGCTCTCGGCGCTCTGCACAAACCCAACTGCAGTTTCCGAGGGCCTGTCAAACGCATTCGGCCCTGGAGTTCACACATCTTGTGTTAGATGCCCGGCAGGGCATGCACAACCCATCCTACAGCTCTGTCAGCTTTTCTGGTTCTTATAATGTGCGCCCAACGACAGCCATTCCGCTGTTGGGGATGTTCAATGGGATTGTTTCTGGCTATCTTTTCTGATTGCATTCATGTATGCCTCATGACTCATGTATGTATAACATGCACATGCACATGTACGTACCTGCATACCTGCGCACGTACATCAATATGTATGCTATGAATATATGTTATGTGCCATACAGCTCGATTGACTCTCGCAGAATCGGAAACCATGCACCGGTAAAACTGGTTGCGATCCAATTGAGACATGGAGTTGTTTGCAGGTCCTCCGCTTCCATGCCACAAGTGCGACGCCTACTTTGCCCAAGAAGGCTTTCTGGACATGTATGCAGACAGTCCGCGGCAGTCCATGGCATTCGCTTGCTTTGCAGGCTCCCAGTGGTCTTACTACTGCCCGGCACAGTCTCGTGCCATGCAGCATCAGCTGCCTTTTGAGGTTTCACCCAAGGGCCTCCCATAACGTGGTAAGTGTCGGGCCTGTTCAGAGGGTCGGACAAAAGAAGCCGGCAAGAGTGAATGTTCTTCATTGCACCGCAGGCCGATGCGTTCCGTGTGTTCGGCAGGCGCTCATGGACAAGTTGAATGGTGCAGTGAAGTCATTCGGGAAAGCCGACGCTTGGCATAGAGCTGGTTTTATTTGTCCCGATCAGATACCTCTGCAGCACGTATATGCATGTTGGAAGGGGAACTTGAGGGTCAGACCTATAGACCAAGGGTTTCCGAAGCTTCGAGCCGAGGAAGTCGCCAGAATGCTCGCCGAGGCGGAGACGTAAGGGCCTGTTGCAGTCACGTGGGGGTAAAGATGCACTGGGAGCCAACTTTCTTCGATAAACCATTCTCGGAGCATGTTTTCTGCCTTTTTTTTGAACATTCATTGTTTGTACTTTACCGGGGGGAGAGGTTGGCTTGCAGGAGAGAGGGGGCCCCTGCATGTAAAAGGAACATGAAAAGGATAGATTGAGGGAACGAAGGAACTGGCGAGGGAAGAAGCAGGAAAGAAAGGAATGAGTAAAGAAGGAAGAGAAGGTAACACCTCTAGTAAGATTCGACTAAAATCCTATCGTTACAGCTACAATTAAGATCGTGTTTGCAAGCCATCAAAATCGATTAAGTTCCACCACCAAGCAATGGAAATCCCTGAGCAAGGCTTTAGCTCCTGATTTAGTTGTATTCACCAGCCGTGAAGACCAGTGAATTTCGTCGCAGCCAATGGACATCAGTGGAATTGAAATCATATTGAACTTTATTAAAAAAATCCAACCAAGTCCGTTGAAGTCCACCAAGACCAACGGAAACCCATTCACGTGCCATAAGCATCCTTTCACAATTGCATTTGAAAAGCAGCAGAATCCATTGACATGTTGATTGAAGCCACTGCAGTACAAGGCCTTCAAACCCCAGCGCCCAACCTCCCCACTCAGAAAAAAGAAAAGGAAACTACCTGTCAGGAATATCCAGAGGAAATGCTGACCAAAGCCTACAATCCGTGCAAAACTTGTCGCACTCACATGGCATTTGCAAACGGACGGGGGCTGCGCGCTCCAACCGCGATGCTCATTTAGGCAATGCAAGTGTATAATACTTGTAGGAAAATTAAGGCATTGCTAATGAAATTGCACGAATCCTTGCAGAAGTTGTCGCACCTACATTGCATTTGCAAATTGGGGGGCTGCCCGTCCCCCAAGCCCCTGACTCTTGCGCTTGAGGGAAAGTATTTTGGCCGTGGTCTTCTATCTGCCAGTATTTGGGGGAAAGATGGGGAAAGCATGCTGGCTGCGTTCTCTATCTCGCCAGTACTGGAAGAAAGCTGGTTCTTAATCCCGCCAAAGTTGCGCTCTTGACACCAAGACGCACCCGAAAAAATAATGGATTGTACATGGAAAATGGATCCAGTATTCTTCGGTACCTAGAAACACCAATAAGAAAAGTATAATAATGGCCCCCCAAAAAAATTAATAATGGATTGGAAATGGAAAATGGATCCAAAATTGCCACATACATTCCGGAGCCAAATCCGCTGCGCTTCACTTGTGGATCCGCTCGGAAGGATTTCGTGTCGGAGCTCAAGAAGCAGGTCTGAACAGACTTCCTGCAGGGGCCATGCAACCGGCACCATGCGCGCGGGCATCTGCAGTGAATGCTGCCAGTTAGACAAAGACTTGAGAGACTTCGCAAAGATCCGGAGAAAGCGCAAGCTGAAGAATGATTGCTTGCAAGATGTTCTGGTGTAGGGCACTTTATTGGCATGTTCTTTTTCGCATTTGGCAGACTCTGCTGAATGATCAGTTCGCACATCATGCACAACACGCAACAAGGTCAAGCAAGCGTCCCAGGACGTTTCCTGCAAGTGGCCGCTTGTTGTTTGAGCAAACACTGGCAGCTTCCACTTTACGAACACTGCTTGCCACACATTGAAGGACCACACCATCCTGCAGCAGGTGAGGGAGTCAAGGGGCAGTGCGCAGGAGCTCGTAGCAGCTTCAGGGGTCGAGGTTCTGTTCCTCATCTCATTGCATTGTGGCACACAGGAAGTCAGCAACTGGCTGAAGAAAAGACGCACCAGCGCATCAGCAAGGCCATGGCACCTAGCGGCAGCGTGCTGTCGAAAGCACGTGCAGTAGGACCGCAGCAGGCAGCTGCACTTGAGCCAGCATGGCTTGATACCGAGGCGCCCATCTACGGTCAGTGAACGAGGCATTCGGCTCATGGAGCTGCAGGACAGATGAGATGGACGTTGCAGCCAGTTGGAATTCGTGTTTGTCGCTCGACAGTGCCGAAGCTGCGCGGTGGAAGCTTTGTGGCTGCAGGACTTCGAGACTGCCACGGGCTCATCTTTTCCACAAGTGGCGAAGGACCGCTGGGTTTAGCCATGGATCTCATGAGAAGGCGCCCAGTCGTCATTAAAAAAATAAGAAGATGCCTGCACATGCATTGCATCGGACTGCAGACTCTGAGGTCGGAGCCCTCGGCGAGGGCAACTTCGGCTTGGTCCTGCTGCTGAGAAACAAGGAGCTCCAAGACCAATGCTTCGACAAAAGAACAGCTCTGCTGAGATTTTGAAGACTATGTGTTGGTGATAGCCTGGGGATGAGGGCGGACGGTGCTGCCCAAAGCACCGAGCATGGCCATGCCCCAGTTGAAAGAGTCTCCGCAGGAGACGCGAGCCGAATATGCCGAAGTCTTACTCTCCTGTGCCCTAATTATGTTTGTCAAGTGGAGAAGATCGCTGTTTCAGGCCTTGAAGGGTCTAAACAAGCAACACCTGGAAGAGGCTGGACTAAACCTTCCAGTGCCAGTCGTTTCTCGAAGAACAGAAGCGCATGTGTGCCTCATCTGTCCGACGCTTTCTCGGCCCAAGTATGTAGCCACTGGCATTGGGCCAAAGGCGTCTCGACTGCAAAGCGCAACTGGTGGGCTTGAGGTCGCTGCATGTCGGTTTTTTGTGCAAGCCTGAAGCGTTCTTGCTCGGTGACTGGATGAGATGCGAAACGAGGCCCTGCCAGGGGACGCCCGGGCCCGCCAGGCATGATAAGGTGCTGTTGCGAGGCAGCGTCGTGTCTGGATGCAGCAGTCTGGGAAACAGTACCCTGAGATGTGTATTGAGATGCGTGTTGTGAAATCCTGCTAACATGCATGTTGCTTCTATGCCCGTTCTGATCTCTGCAGAGCGAAAACGGGCTTCCCGTGGAAGCCGTGACAGCGGTTGGTTCTGATGAGCCCGAGCCGCTGGCCACGCCGAAGCCGCGGCCTGAGCTTGCAGTATTTGCTGCGCTGTCGGGGCTCGAAGAAGACAGACGAGGCTGCCGGCCGTTTTAAAGCCCTGAGTCCAGATTTCTGCGGGTTCGCGATCGACCCACTCGGCAGAACGCAGGATTCCACAGAAGAAGATGGTCATCACGTTCGAACGGCGTGATGGGACCGAAAAGGCCTGTATCAGTGTATGTGACCAGAGGAACCACCATCGCCTGTTCTTGTCAGCAGGACGTGGAATTCTTCCACAGACCGATCGGCCTTGAATGTAGTGGCACAGAGCCGGGGCCCGCATTGAAGGTATGTCTTGTGAGGAGCTGAAGCCCCAAACGAGGACTTGAGATTTCCCATGACGTGGCCGTGCTGCAAGTGACGAGCTCCTCAGTCTTCTGCAGCTTAGGAGCCGATCGTTGTGCAGCGTGTTCGCAAGAACACTGCGGCAGAGAAGGCTTTGGTTAGAGTCAACTGGGTGCCTTCGAGCGCAGATGGTCTTGTTGTTCGAATGTCTCGAACTGCCCCTTTTTGTTTCCTTGGTCTGCATCGGGACTGCACGTATCCCTTCCTCCGAAATGGCGTGAGCGGATAAGCCGAATTGCTGTTGTGTGTCGAGACCCCGGGGCAACTGGCTCCATTCTCGGGATATGTGGAAGGACTCTCCCGTGAGATGCTTCCACAATTCCCAGGTGGTACGCGCTGTAGATGGACTGCGGGCGCCAGCAGACTTGCGACCTGGCAAGTTGGCATCCGAAACACTCGTGCACATATAGCGGGTAAAGAGGGGCTGTCGGTGCGACGAACATATGCAATGTAGTGATTGTTGGTCTAGCACAAAGTAAAGCTCTCGGCTCGAGCATTAGCGGTCGCTCTTGGCGCAGCTGATTCTTCGCGCAATGTGTGAAATGTGTAAAGTCGGCGTAGGGATCCACAGGTGGGTGGTGGTTTCACTGCTACAGCCAACATCTGAGAGGCACCTCTAGTCTGTTTCGGTCTTTCCTATTTCAGGCCGCTGGCCACGCAGTGCATGGCGCATTATAAGGCCAGGTCATATTCTCCAAGCCAGTACTGTATCTGTGAGATCGTGTGACATAGTATAACTTCGCTTAGCATAACTAGACACTCCATGCTTTGTTGTGTGGTATGGAATGACTTAGTAGTCGGAGGTAGTCTGAAGCACGTTATCTCCAAAATCTGAAGTGCCACGATGCGCAAACTTAAATGCGCACATAAGCCTAGTCAGCAACCGTCAGCAAGCCCCAAAGTAAATAGGCACATTCACAGCACATGTTTGCATTCGCAAGTTCTTGTTGTGCCTTCGCGTATGCATGTGTACATGCATGTTCTAAAATTAGCAGCCATAGTTTGGCAAATGTGCGCCACATCATTTTGCACAGTCAAGTCAGTAGGTCAGCTAAACCTAAAGAGCAAGCATTTATGCAGAGACAGAATCCAAGATGCAAGTGCAAGACACAGTAGTTCAACAGACATAGGCACATACAGTTCATTCACGCAGTCCCATCATTCCCGCAAGAACGCGTGCAGCCCTATTCGCACAGTGAGGATGTCTCTTATGCAAGCTCGGGCCGGCGAGCTAGCTGAGGAGCGTCTGGAAGGGACCTTGTCACACTTCACCCACCCGCTGTGCCTCTCCAGGAGCCCAAAGCCAATCAAGCGTCGACCTCGGCCTTTCGACGCCCCAGGTTGATGGCTAATGTTCCTGTGGAGTTCCGCGGCCCTTGGGGCCGAAGGTCGTCTTGACCTTCACCCCACCCGACCAGATGAAGGCTCGGAACCCCGATTTTCTCTGCAGGCGCTGGCCTTTTGAGCTGTCCTGTTTTTTGACAGCTCGTCGACGTGACCTTTCAGCACCAGCCCTGGGGCGTCATGTTCACCAAATCAGCGAGAAGCCCGGAGAGGAAGGAAGGCTTGTTGCACGAATTTCTGCGGTGCTGCTGCCAGGTGCCGGTGCGTGTCAAGGGCTGTCGGCCAGAGTCGTACAGCGAGCGCCGCTTGTCCGGAAAGATCTGAGGGATTTCCGAGGCCCAGGGCTGAGGACTTAGTAAGGCAGTGGACTGCGCTGGCACCTGGGGATCAAGAGGAACGGGCGCAGAAGCCGAGGGGCAAAAGTTCAAAAAGACCTTCGGTCTGCTCTGGCCAAGTCTACTGCTTTTTGCTGAGGACTGGGTGTTCAGAAGGGCTGGCACTTGGTTTCCGTGGACGGAGAGCAATTGCCGGAGAGGTGGGATCCATCCTGCGAGTTCAGACTTTGTCGCATGAACTTCTGTTACCTTGACAAGAGACTTGAAGTCACAGTCGGGACAGGATGACTGAGATCATGCAGCTCATCCAGGCTGTGGATGTTGGAGGGTCAGTTACTCCACACTTGCTCCATTGACAAACAGCCGCTTGCAGGAGAAAGTCTCCACGCTTCCTTTCCGAGCAGAACAGTGAGCCAATGTGTGCTCCACCGTCGCCTTGGTCAGAACAGAAATCGGCAAGTGCAGAGTTGACCCATGCAACAGAAGCCTCGAACAGCAAAACATGCCGATTTTCCCTGAACTCGTGAACGAGACTGGTTTCGGATCCGAAGCGATCAAACCATGCGCGAAGCGCATGTCTCCCACGATTCTGCGCCTCGACGCGACATGATGATATATTGCCATGTCTCTACGCCGTGTGAAAAATCATTAGCGCATACGAGCTGGGCAGCTGGGCTGCGAGGCGCATAGGTACCGTCTCGTGCTTGCTAGCGTGCGGATGGTACACTGCCGTACCGACGATGAAAATCGTGAGTGGGCCATTTTCTCAGTCTTTTTAAGCCATAGTCGTAGATCGTGGTCTCTGTTGACATCTTGTGACTGATGCCGCTTGGTAGTTGAGTGTGGGCATGAGAGCACCCGCACATGGGCAGGAGAAGCAAGAAGGAATGTTGAAGAACGAGCGCAACATACTGTCGACTCTGGAAAGCCTCCTTGTGTTGTCCTTTCTCCACCCACAGTTCTGGCCGCACTGACGTAATCTGACGTAGGCAAACAATGGAATACCTTGCAGGACAGCCCCTTCATCATTCATTTGCATGGGTGCTATCACGACAACAAGTTCGCAGCTGGGCACTGTTTCCTGCAGGGCTGGGCATGAGTGGTTCAGAAATCGGCTTTCCTAGCTTGGTGCTTGTTGTTGGCACAAAGAACCAGGATTGTATTTCAGGTTTGCCGCAGGACAGTAATAGATTTATTTGCTGTTTGAATCCGGAAGTTGGTGCACCGCACTGTCAAGTCAAGGTATTCTTCCTCTTGGAGGTCGCTCTAGGCACGTCTGTGGACGACGTAGTGTTTTCTCAGTTTTGCGAATGGTGCGCCCAGTGCATGTAGGTGGCGAACTCTTCGACCTCTACAACGAGTACGATCTCTGGGGACGGACAGTCCAACCCTGAAAGTTGGGAGGGACTCCCGGTGGCAATTCCAAAGTGCTAAGGATACAGCGCAGTTCTACGTCGCCTGTGTAGCCTTGGGACTTTCGCACATTCACTCCAAGCGAGCCCGGCGAGAGTTGAAGAAGCTTCCGGACAGAATGCCACGGCACTAGTGGTCGTGTGTGAACACAGACTGCACCTGAGACAGCGACATGTCCACTACTCGTACGCAGCACGCGATTCATTTGTTGACACAGACATGATGCCTGGGCGCAGCAGGCACATCGTCTGGCGCGATTTGAAGCTGGAGAACTGCTTGGTTAACTCGCAGGTGGCGTGTTTTGCCGGCAGCTTTGCAGAGGAACGTTAGACGACTTCGCAGGGCTATGCTAAGCTGACGGACATGGGGATAGCTAAGACTCTCGTCTGCACCATGGAGGGGAAGGGTAAAGGAAGTGTATCTTCGTGATCTTCATGTTTTGGCTGAGGATGGTCACGGGCAAGACCTACACTGTTTCTTGGATGTCGTAGCCACACTTCCTCACATGCGGCAATGACTGGCCGGCAACATCAAGGTGTGTGGCACTGCGGACTACTTCGCACCTGAAACTCTGAAGCAGGCCGGGGTCCATTTATGTAGCACGTGGCTGAATGGCTGAATGTAGCTGCTTTTGGAAGTCTGCGTCTGCGTGGACGCCCAACAGCTCGGCAGGTAGGTCACAATCGAGCTGCCGATTGGTGGGCGGCAGCCTGAGGGCGCAAAGCAGAACACGAGCTTGGTGCGAGCCGGCATGAACCGAAGCCGAGGCCCTGGGGGTCATGCTCTTCATCATGCTGGCCGGACATAGCCCCTTCGATGCCCCGGAGGCTCGATCGAACCTGCACACAGACCGGATAGTGTTTGAACATGACGGCAGGTGACGCAGATCTACAAGAACATCATCAAAGGTTGTATCCCGAACAGTGAACGTCCACGTTAATTGCTCAGCAGTGCCCGTCGATGCAAGGTTTCAGCAAGGTGCAGTTCCCACCCGCTTTCCCGAAAGAGGCCAGTCTCACTGTGACAATGTCGCAGTATGCCTGTTCTTCAATCTGGATGGCTTATTGGCTTTGCGGCTTAGCCCTTGCCGATAGCAGAAACTGGAAGGCAGAAGAATGCGTGCGATCTCTGTGCCGAAAGAAGCCGGAGGAGTGTATCACCCGTAATTCACCCACCGGCCCACCAAGACAGCGTTAGGATCGTTAAGTCGGTGCGTGCTGCTCCTCATAGCCCAGCATGTATGAAGCCCGCTTCCAACATGTTCCAATCTACAGATGTGCAGCGTCTCGCGGTTCCCATAGGACCGGCTGACGATGCAGCGTGGTGGCATCAGCCTCCCGGCCGACTCAGGGATTGGGCACATGGACGTTAAGGTGCAGGATCCTCCATCCGTCGTAGCAGTTGTTTGGAGGGGAGAAGCTTCTCCAAGAAAACGAGGCAACTTGATGCCTCTGAATTTCTTTGATGGTTTGAACTGGGAGGACTGGGGGGCATGCTCATGGCCGGCTGGTAGTGTCTGCAGACAAGAGCCTGCTCTCCCAGTTGAGCAACCGCAGCCTCCTCAACCTCGCGCGAGCAGGACGTCAAGGCATTGACGATGAAGCCACCGTGGATCCCGTTGGCATCCCAAACCTCAGGGAAGTCCTTGCATCGCCCTCCACCCTTTGCAGTGCAGCCATGCAGCAAGATTTTGGGACAGATGGTTTCTCCGGGTTCCAAGGCCAGAGCCGGACTACGACAAGATCGCTGCCAGGCCGCGCAGCCACAGCATTCGAGAAAGTGTTTTCGGTGGCGGTGGTTCCTCGCCTCGCAGGAAACTGTCCCGACCCATCGACATCCAATTTGATGAGCTGAGCCTGTCCGGACCCCCTGCATGACAGCACATGGCAGTGAAAGATGCTAGGCGCATTTCCGAGGTGGTTGTCACACGACGATGTGGCTTGGCCAGGGAGTTCAGACTTGGGGACAGCCTTCTTTTTCAAGACCAGGCCTTACAGAAGCATCTGGCAGCCTGAATCTCGGTGCCAGGTCCCGCAACTTCCTGGAGGGCTTTCTACCCACAGCCTTGAGAATGGAGAGGAGGCTGGCCTATGGCGAAATTTGATGCGAGCTACCAGTAGGCAAGAGGCAATGCTTCGACTGTCGTCGGGTCAGGACGCACAACAGGAACATGAGGCTCTGGAGTGAAGTTGTCTGCTCTTCTTGGGGTAATGAGCACCAGAAGGAAGGGAGCATCTCGTGCTGCAGGTATTGGAGCCCATGCCCATGCCCGAGGCGCCACGTGACAAGAACGACCTTGAGTGGGGCCTGTCCGGGCTGTAGAGTTTAAATGGCCTGCATAAATACGCCAGTCTGCAGAAGCAGATGCGATGTTGCGACTGTCCCTCAACATGCAATGCTTGTCGGCTATTTGTGAACACTTTAAGTCTGTTGCAATCGGTGTAAGTTGCCCAGTTGTGCATCCGCAGAGTTTCACCACGAAGGGGGTGCCAATGTCACAAGAATTTGGCGAGGCACATTTCCGATGCACCACATAGGTTTGGTCGGTCGAGTTCGGAACCAGTCGGCGCAGGCCCAGCAGCTTGACCCAGGTTGGGTACCAGACTGGCCTCGCAAACGCTGCAGTCCCCAAGGGATGCAGTGCCAAGGCTTGGAGAACGAGTCCTTGCGATGCGCGTGCGCGCTCTACGCTCTTTTGTGAGGTCTCGGTCTCAGAATGTGCCAGCAAAAGCGGAGCGATCCGTACCTCCTTTGCGCATGCAAAAGCCGGAAGAAGATGGAAGCCCGAGGAACGTTGCTTCTTTTTCCGACTGCACTGTACGGGCTTGGCAACTACGAAGCCTCGGATATCTCATGTTGCCTACCAGCAAGTCGAAAGCTTCGTGTCGTGTCGGAAATGCTCCGTGAAGTTCCGAATGTGCTGTTGCTGTTCCCCAACAAACAGCCCATTCGTGCGGAAGTGTGCTTGTGCGGTTTGCAAATTGCCAAGGGGCCACCGCAGGTCTTGCTTGGTTCTTTTACTGTAAGCACACAAGCGTCACGACAGCAGCATTTCGAATCATCATTGGAAGACTAGTGACTAGTGACTAGAGTGGAGGTGTCACTGTGGTGGGAATGCACTCCGTTCTGGGCTCCAGCTCTGCGTCTCCACCACGGGCGGGGAGCGGTGGCATCCGACGGCTCCGGCACCATGCCGCGGACATAGAGGCCGTTTGCATCGTGATAATGGGCTGGTGCGGGCTGTTCCGGACGTTCAGGGTCTCGACGGTTGGGTCACACAGGCCGATGTTCCGCGAGCCGGTGCCCTGGTCGCTTGCCTTTCGGCAGCACTGGAGTTGAGAGGAAGCCCTGGCTGCCAAGTGGTTTGCAGGGAATCGGCCTTGTTGCCTGTCGGGCTTTGACAGCACCATGAAGCTTCCGCGCCAAACCATGTCAAGCAGCGACAGGAACCAGACTTGTAGCGGCAGAGAAGCTCAGCAAGCCGAGGAGAGGCTCAGAGGGTGGGGGGTGGGGGGGAGCTGGCTTGTGGGGAGTCCTGGAGAGAATTTTCGGAGGGCCGCGAGTCACCCCCGCAAAAACGCAGAATGCTACGGGGGGTAGGGTGGAGTGTGGGGAGGGGATGGGAGGGGTGGGCATGAGGAGACTAAAATGTGCGAGCTATCGGACGATAGCAAGTACGAGGTTTGCGGCGTTGTTTAGACTTGCATTGTGTTGCATGTTTGTCATTTGAGGCTTTTTCTGGATTCAGCGTAGCTTGTGAGAGTGATGTTCGGCTTGTGAATCATCTCGCCACTGTGAGCGGCCAAGCTTTCGTCCAGCTGTTGTGACTGTAGTCTTAAAGTCCAGCAAAAGTGAAGGCACGAGCCAACTTCTCCGAACGAATGCCGATAACTATCAAACTCTTTGTAGATTGCTGTCCGGGTTTGTTTTCCAAAGTCTGGTCCAGCACGAAAATGCTCCGAGCCGAAGTGTTCCCCATGTCTCCCGGCATTCCTCTTGTGAAGCTGGCTTTCAAGAGCCACTTAAACGCCACAAGAAAAGAGCCCGAAAAGAGCCAGAGTCCTATTGGGTCCTACTGAGTCCCTAGTAGGTCCCACGGTGGTTCTTTCCGGCTTTCCTGGGCCGAAGCCAAGGAGCGGCGGCAGGGCCGAGGTCGACGCAGGGGTGTGGTGCCTCTCCCGAGCCTGGAGGCAGTTCTGGGATGTAGTAGTTAGTTATAGTAGAAATAGTAATAACTTATTATGAATATTCTTATTATTAGTAGTGGTAGTCGTGGTGGTAGTAGTAGTGGTACAGTGGTGGTAGTAGTAGTAGTAGTAGTAGTAGTAGCAGCAGCAGCAGTGGCAGCTGCAGCAGGAGAAGGAGGAGTAGTAGTGAACGACCTCGTTAGTAAATTGTGGAAATGGCATGCCGATTGTCAGGCCGATGCTGTATACCGTGAGGCCAGGGCGGACGTGCTGAGTTTGGTGGACAGCACGGTATAGCGTGTGAGTCTGAGTGCTGTTGTTAGATCTCTTCGACGGTCTCTCGCTTACTGCATGCTGCCGCGCTGTGGCACAATTCTTGGCATCGCTTTCCAGACCCACACGCCTCCCCGAACCACCCCAGCAGCATTGGACACGCACAAACCTCGCATGCGATGGAATGGCGACAGCATTCTTGACCAGTCCAGCAGACTCTAGAACCAAACTATCCATGCCCTCCCTTGGTCTTCTTGGCCTCTAGCCTGTTCGAGAGCACAATCACCATCGAGCAGCACCATATAGCCAACCTGCAACAGTGGTGTCCTGCAGTGCGTGACTGCACGTCACACTCTTCCCACTGCTATGAATGCCCTTCTATTTCTGGCGAATCTGGCGACACTGGCTTGGGCCGTAGAAGTTACAAAGAAAGACTGGGACGTCCAGAGCTCAGCTTCCTGAAATCACACCGCTTTGCCTTTGCAGTGCTCGGCGCTTTGGAGCTCTTTGGAAAAAAAGGAAAAGACAGCCGGCAAGACGGTCTTCGTGAAGTTTTTTGCACCGTGGTGCGGGCATTGCAAGAAGATGAAGCCTGCGTGGGACAAGTTGATGCAGGCGACTTCTCATACTTTTGCTCAGGCAGTTGAGGTGGGAAATGTCTGATTCGGCCAGGAGTATGCAGACCACGACAGTATTCTGGTAGCTGATGTAGTCCCTCGGCTTGAGATGCGTGTTGCACTGTGAAATGTCGGTCTACCGAGAGTTTCGCAACCGAGGATTGCATCGGTGACGGCAAGTCCAAATGCGAAGAGGTCGGAATTGAGGGCTTCCCCACCATTAAGCGCCTAGGCTTCTTGGAATCCGGGACCGGTACCCGCCTCGGGAGTTTAGGCCTAGGCATTAGCCTCGGGCAAGACAAGCCTTTGTCGAGAGGGTTTCGGCCTAGCTTGGCAGGATGTGCAGGTCAGTGACATGATCAGGAAAAGGTTCCCTTTCCCGTGATGAAGTTGCATGAGCCGCTACGACTTTGAGATGCCGGCCTAGGTACGGCAGCCCGACCAACCTCGAGGAGCCTTGCATGTCCCAGGCTTTGACTGCTGAGCTTCTCCACGAACATGGCATGTAAGGAGTACAAGGGGGGCAGAGATTTCGAGACCCTTGAGAAGTTCGCCAAGGAACTGCTGCTTGGAGTTTGCCGTTCCATCACAGAGCAAAGTGCGAAGTGTGGCAGCGCGATGTGGAAGGCGAATCTGGGCCCGACCTGCAGCCCTGAACGAAGCGATCTCTGCGACGATCGGCAGCAGCAACTGCTGGAGGAGAAGCCTGTAGTCAGCCCGTGTTACAACGGTTGCAGGGCCAGGCGTTCTTATTGCGATCTCACGTTCAGTCGAGACGGCCGAACTTTCGCAGGAGTTCATGGCTATGTCTCTCAGCAACATGGAAGCATCGGGGAGAGGTCTTGTGGCCTTCTGCTGCAGGGTAGGAGGCGCTGTCCGAGGTGAGCTGAAGACGAAAATCAAGGAGAAGGATGAAGAGATATCTGCTGCCGAAAAGCAGGTTCAGGAGTACTCCTGTTTTGGGTTTGAGCCCCACCCAGAAGCCTACCAATTTGTCGGATGTGAGGACCTCTTCAAAAGATTAGAGAAGCAGTATGAAGAAGCGCAGAAGGCTTTGCCGATTCTGTTGTTGCTGCCTGCATCCAATGTCATTCCCACCGTGTTTCGGAGGCAAAAGAGAGGAAAGAGAAGGCCATCAAAGATGCGGGCCTATGGCTCATGAAGTCCGTTCAGGCGGCGGGTACCCTTGAAACCCTGGGACACCGCGCACTTGACCTTGCCTCAACTTGTCCCAGGCACACCGCAAGGTGAAAGAGCTGAAGGATGCCAAAGACAAACAGGACAAAGAGGAGGAAAAGGAGAAGGACAACGCGACGAACGCGACCAACGCGACGAACGCGACCAGCGAGCTCGAGCACAGCGCCCTGGAGTCCCAGCCGGGTGAGGATGCGACACCAAACAGCACCGAGATGGCCGGTTCGGATGTGAGTCCAGCCGCGACCGCGGCGGCGCCAAGTTCCGACTCAGAGTCGAACATCGGCACGCCCGAAGTGCAACAGCCTGCGCCAGAGAATCCGAGTGAGGTTAGAGAGAGCAAGCCGGAGACAGATCGAAAGGATCAGACTGCTGAGACGGAAGGGAAGGCTGAATTGTAGCTTCATGGGTTCGCCCCCAGCTTGTAGCTCTCAGCTTTGGCATGGGCTCGTTCCGTGCCCTGAAAGTCGCCTGGGTCAGCCTGTGAGCTCTGAAAGACTGTCTCACGTTCAAAACGCCGTGTCAGTTCCTTGGTTTCAGGCGCTCCTGAGCTTCCTGCTCAGCGAGAACTCGAGTTAAGCCTTCAGGGACGAGTGGACCAGGGATGACCAGGGTAGATATTTGAGGGCACATTTTTTCCAGCATCACTCACACTACCCAGGAGATGGGCTTTTACCCTGGAGACGTAACTCGAACGGGGTCCTCGTCACGCGCTTTGCAAGCAGACACCAACCAAGTGTCCCTCCTGAACAGCTTGCGCAGCTTGCCTCTCTCTATGTTGATGCTCCGAGTCTTGCGAGCATCTATGTACAAACCTCGAGGCCCTGGCAGTGCCTTTGTGAAGTCACGAGCTAGTTATGACCGTAAAGTTTTGCGCATGTAGCAGGTGTCTGGGCTTCTAAGATTTAATCTTGCCGTTTGCCCCCGACTGCTAGCGACGTTCCGGCCTGCCGGACGACGTGACATCAGACCGCCGATTGACACAGACGGCAAGAAAAGGCAGTCCAGCATGGTCATCACGCAGCACAGGTGTTGTGTCGCGGACGCTTTGTAACTGTGTCGACTGCTGAGCTTCGGTCATGTCATGTGCCGCACGATTCAGGTCGGCAAGGCGACTTTGGAAAAGCTTCGTGCCATTGAGGATAGTGACATACCCATTTGGATCCACGGTGCCAGTAGTGGCAGGTCCAGGGGCTCCCATCCCAGCCCCAAAGGTTTCTGCACCCTCGAAACCTCCTTGGCAAATTCCCCAGCGGCCATGGGCATCTACCAGCTTCTCCTTGCCACGGCCACGGCGGCCACGGCCGCCGGCCTCGAGCTCACTGAGGAAGACTGGGATGCGACTTGGCCGAGACAGGGCAAAGCCCCAAGGCACGACGGGGGGCAGTGTGAGCCTTGTGCTTTCTCTTGGCCTTAGCCTAGGTGAAAACGGCAGGAAAGAATGTTTTCGTAAAGTTCTATGCGCTCCTTGGCACGAATGGCATGCTCCTTGCACTCATGCAGGGTGCCGTGTTTCGCCAGCCCAGGCCATGGTGTGGCCACTGCCAGAGCCCAGCAGGCAATATCATGGCTCAGCATGTTAACTACTAAAAGCCTCCATATGGAAGAGTCGGGTCTGGTTCTGCTCTTCCTGGCCAAGGAACATGAAGCCCGCCTGGGACCAGCTCGCACAGGAGATGTGGGCAATGGGGTGTGAGATGTCGCAGTGCTAAGGAGAACAAGGGTGGGACAAATGAATGCTCCTATTGAGTCAACACCCGCCGTCTGGATGTTCACCGTCGCATTGATTTCCTAAGAGTCTTCCTGAGGAATACAAGGATCATGACCACATCCTCATCGCGAACGTTGACTGCATCGGGGCCGGGAAAAGCAAGTGCGCGGAAGTGGGCATCAAGACGTTTCCCACGTTGAAGCCACCCGGACCGAAGGCTCGAGACCCGGAGTCACGGTGTCTGTCCTTCGCCCCCCAAGGTTCGGCACTCCGCATGACCTCGAGGACAGCTGAGCTTGGGACCTGAAGGGCCCTTTCGGGCCTAGGATTCTTCCGATTTTTGGTGAGAGAGTCCACTCTTCCCTCGTAGGACTACCGCGGCAGTCGAGACTTCGAAGACCTGGCCGCTTTCGCCGAGGACGTTTGTGATGCGCGGTCCTAGCGAGCATATGTGGGGGGTTTTGTCGGGTTTTGCACGTGTGCAAATAGTGACAAGCATGGCGAAGTTCCTGAGATTACAGTTTTCTGTTCGCTTTTAAGTCAGTTTCTCCAGTTTCGTGTCCGCAAAGAAGCATCCTCCGAAGCCGAGCTCCGAGGCCCGAGTGTTGAAGGTTTTTCGCTTAGAGCCTCTTGCAGCCATGTCGTGGGGAGGCGGAGACCGTTCGCAGCAGGATCTCTGGTCCGCCCTGGTCGCCGTGGCCGAAGCCGAGATTGAGGATATCGAATTCCTTATGGTTCGCCTCCAAGACTCGGACTTGGAGAAGATACGGCAGGCCGCGCAAGCTGCGTTGGTCGCTTCCTCCCGACTGCAGGCGGCGGAGAGAGCGGCCGCGAGCTCCAACGACAACCCCGCCAAGGCTGTGCCCAAGGCGGTCGCGAAGGGGGCTACCGACACCGTGCAGGTCGCGCCTGCAGCAAGTGCAACAGCAGCTGGTTCGCCAGCCACGGTCGCCCAGCCGCCCGGGACGGTCACCGGTGCGATCTCCAAGAAGGCGAGCAGGGCCGCCCCGCCTGGTCCTACGTTCGCGAAGGATACTTCGCCTGGTGCAGCAGCGGCCGCGAAGGCTATGACGGCCCCGCCGGTTCCGGTAAAGCCTCTTCCGGCCAACCCTGGTTCGCAAGGTTCGACCTCGCCGCCTACTACCACTACGCCAGCCAAGAAGACTACGCCGGTGAAGTGTCCGCCGAAGGTGCCCGACACTCCAACGGCGCCGCCTGGACCAACGTCCGCAGAGGATGCTATAGCACTGTTGGTGGCGCCCAGTTCGTCGACTACCTCAGCAGCGACCCCGCCGCCTACCTCTACGGAGCCGACTGTCAAGGCGATGCCCACCCAGGTCGCCGATGCAGTGCCGAAGCAGGTCGCAGCGGACGCAGCGGCTTCCAGTTCCGCTTCGGCCGGCCCGCAGCAGCCTGGGGACACAGGGGCCGCACCGACGGACGACGCCGACGAGCCGGGACCTCCCGGACCACAGGACCCACCACAGTTCGCGCCGCCTCTTCGCTTTAGCCAATGGCCGCAATATGACGAACGTGGTCGCTGGTTCGAGGACTCCCCGCCCGACTACCACGACCTCACTACCGAGTGCCAGGTCAGGATATGTGCGCGGGCTGTCACGCCCAGCATAAGGCTTTGAACCCGGACGAGCCCACGGCAACGTAGGTCGCGACCATAGGGTTCGTTGAGGGCGGGGGTTTTGGCTTTCGTTTCGCGGGGGGGGTGGGCTGTTCAGGGTCGCTTTCGGGGCGCTTTCTTTGGCCGGGGGTTGGGGTCTTTCGGGTAACTAGATGGTCGTGGCCTACGTTCGCCCTATGCTTCGGCTGTACAGCCCTCTTCCTTCACCCTGTCGCACCACCCGCGGAGCAGAAAAAGAGTGACGTTCGCAGCTTCATTGGTCCAGTTCGCAGAGCAGAGTGCACCAGGTCAGCATGTTCGGCGCAAGTGCAGTTTGTGTTCGCAAGGGGTACGTTTTGCTTGTCCGTTGGGTTTTTGTTTCGAGCGTCCGCTCGCTAGTTTTGAGCAGTACTGCTCATTCAAGGTCACGCCCTTAGTTCGCAGACATGTTGCATATTCCGTGCGATGCCGACCGTTCGTCTTGCGCAAGTTTGGTCGCAGTCCTTCAAGCTACAGGGAATGCACCGTTTGTTCGCAAGCTGAGTTCTGCTGGGATAAAGTCCGCTAGGGACCTGGAGAACGCCCCCAGGTCGCAGATCCGAGCCATTATCGGAGACGTGGCGATGGATCGCCTTTTTCTTTCACAGCCCGCTCGTGCCCAGGTTCGCCGCGACATCCCGGAAGTGCACCCATACGCCAGAGGCTCGCTGCAGAGGATTGGTTTGGCACCGGGCCCTGAGAACGAGAAGGTGGTCGTGGACTTAGCGCAAGCAGACCGCGAGTTTCTTCAGGATCGGTTCGCTAAGTCGTCTCAAGCGCCACGTGAGAGTCGCTGGGCGACGTGGACCCTAATGGCCGCAAAGCGACAGATGTCGCCGCTTCCGGTGACTGTGGAACTGATTTTCGGGATAGGAGCAGTGATGAAGGTTGGGCGGTACCGCTCTGCTGCCCAATATTTCGCTATTGCGAAATCGCGCCACATCGAAGCTGGTCACACATGGTCGCAGCAGCTCGACTTGGCTCGTGCACAGGCCATTCGTTCAATTACGCGCGGCGTTGGCCCCGCAGCTGCGAAGCTCAACATTTCTTTCGATCACGTTCGTCTAGATTTCAGTTTCGCTCTGACCAAGGCGTACACCGAACTGGAAGTGCCCATGTCATTGAGAGTGAAGGAGCCGTTCGCCACGGCGATCACGGCACTGTGGTTCCTTCTCCGGGGGATCGAGGTCGCGGGTGTCAAGGGCGAGGATGTTCGGTTTAACAGATCCGAGCGAGCTGTAACAGTTCGTCTGCCCGTGAGCAAAACAGACCTCGAAGGCAAGGGTTGCGAGCGTCGGCATGTTTGCATCTGTTCGTTGGAACACGAGCCACAGTGCCCTTACTCCGCGGACAAGGCCACAATGTTTACGGCCCTGCAAAGGTGCAAGTGCGGTTCGGGCAAACACCCGTTGTGTGTGTTTCACGCTCTGTTGGAACTGGTCGTTCGCAGAAGGAAGTCAGGGTCGTACGACCCGTCCCAGCCGCTTTTTGGTGACGGGCAGTCCGCAGTATCCCAACGCCAACTGACTCAGTTGGCGAGGATTTGTGCCTTCGTTCTGCATCAGGAGACGTTGTACGAGTGGTCGCCGACCGCGTTGGAGAAATGGTCACAACATTGCTTCCGCGTTTCGGGAGCTCAGCTTTTCGCAAGAGCGGGGGTACCCCTGCCGGTGATTCAAGTGATTGGTCGCTGGGGCTCCATGTCCGTGATGAGATACGTGCAAGATGCAATTTTCGTTCCAGACCAGACTGCTGCACAGGTTCGCTCGGCCCTTACTCCCGCGTCGAGCTCAGCGAGTGCCTCTTCATCGAGCCAACTTCAGGTGCAGGGGGTTTCTACTGACGAAGTCGAGTCAGTCGTTCGCCGAGTTGTGGCCGAATGTTGGCAGAACAAGGCGACTTTCGTGCGTAATACGCGAACCAAGTTCGCTCACAAGCCGTGCGAGAATGAACAGGCTTTGCAGAGTTTCGACTGGGTGTCCGCATGCGGTCGCTGGCACTACGGTTCGTCTAATCATCTTCGGCACCCGTCTGTTTTACCGGGATTCTCCAGATGTGCTAAGTGCTTTGCTGAGGAACAAGCGGTTCGCAGCTCTCAGGAACAGCAGCCAGTAGCTCCCCCTAGCGAGGAGTCCGGAGACTCCGAAGCTCGAGTTCGGCAGCATGACGACTTCTTTGGCAGGTTCGCTTCCCAAGTTCGAGGACCTGGCCACCTCCGCGGGCCTCGACAAGCAAGTTATTGTCTTCCTTCGTGACCGAGGCATCACGAGCTCAGGAGTCTTGTACCACTTGTTCGCAGACCGATCCAAGATTGGTCGCACCTTGGAACCCCTCAAGCTGGGAGTGAAGATCGGCGAAAACACGCTCAAGATGGACGAGGTCGCCCTGGACGTGGCGGTGGCCTCCCTCGAACACATCGTCGACGAGATCGAGTTCGCGAGGGCGTCCCACTTGCAACCGACGGCAGCGCCATCCGGTTCGCAGCCTGCACAAAGTTCGCAAGCCACATCGACGGCAGATCCGTCGAAGGCCCCCAAAACCTTGCCCAAGGGTTATTGGGCCAAGCGCATCAAGGACTTCGAAAGTTCGCAGATAGAGGGTCGCAACCGGGTTTTCCCGGTGCACCTTCTGGTCGGCGCGGAGGAGACGCTCGCCAGGATGGTCTTCGAGTTCGAGAGTTCGCACTTGTTCACTCCCGTTAAATTGCGAGAGGTGATCTCCTCAAGGAATTTCACGCCGAGTCGCCAAGTGAACCCGTTCGCCAAGACCGAGGACCCTTCACAGAGGCTTTGTCGCTCGACCCCAGTGGCGCATTGGTTCGCAAGGACCGCCGCATCCCTGAGCCTCAGAAAGCTCTTACGGTCATCGACGCGCTCGAGGCAGTGAGATGGGCCATGATTTTCGCTCGTTGGGGGGAGGAGTTCGTCATCGGCCAGTTCGTGGACTTTTTCATCAACTTCGTTCGCGACAACCAGAACAAGATTCCCCAGATCCGCGAGTACTACCGCAAGTCCTCGTGGGACCTGGCCATGCATCTTCGCGCAGAAGGTTCGTTCCAGGAGGGCGTCAACAAGATCATCACCAGCACAGAGCGCCACGATGCCCTTGCGAAGTGGATGCCAAAGGCAAGGACATCGACGGCAAGGGCAAGTCGAAGGACTGGCTCGGCAAAGGCAAGTTCCGCACACCAGCCCCGTACACTCCAGCAGGCCCAGGCCGCCCACCTTGTCGCCTGTTCGCCAACGGCTTTTGCAAGTACGGTGCAGCCTGCAAGTTCAGTCACGCTGGGACTGGGACAGCCAACACGCCTACGCAGTCCGCTCAGGGACAGCCCCACCAGGGCTAGGGACAGCTCAGCGCCCTGGACTTGTGCAGTCCGGCAGCAGTTTCGCTTTCCCTCCCCCGCCCCCTAAGTCTAGTCCCGATCCCCCCGTAGTCTCAGGTAGCGCGTCCAGTCCGCAGCAGCTCCCAGCTCAGCCTTCCGTTTTGCCCAAGCCTGACACCCTGCCGCACGCGGTTGTCCTCTTTAGGTTCGGTTTAGTCCCCGCTCCCCCTAAGATCGGAGGAACTGCGCCAGTGGGGCTCAAGCAGTCGGCACAAACCCCGAACCCCCTTAGTCACCACAGGTCGCCAGGAGGTCACCACTCAGACGCAAAAGGCTTCAGGTAGCCAACCGCCTCAGCACCCTCAGGTCGCGAACTCAGGTCACAAGTCAGGCCAGGTCGCATTGCTCTCAATCACTGATGGACCTTCAGATACGTCCGGTCGTATCGTGGTCATGGGAGCTC